TTTTTCAACGTTTATTTATTTTTGGGACAGAGAGAGACAGAGCATGAACGGGGGAGGGGCAGAGAGAGAGGGAGACACAGAATCGGAAACAGGCTCCAGGCTCTGAGCCATCAGCCCAGAGCCCGACGCGGGGCTCGAACTCCCGGACCGCGAGATCGTGACCTGGCTGAAGTCGGACGCTTAACCGACTGCGCCACCCAGGCGCCCCTAAACGTTTAAAATTTTTAAAAATAAATAAGTTTTCGTATAATAGTATACAACTCTTAGTAGACAAGGTGCAAAATAGGCCCTTTTCCTGCAGAATGCTACCCTGTGTTTAACAGTGACATAATGAGGTCTCACTCTGTCACACCAAAGAACCCCCACCGAGCTGGCTCTGTTAGGCATGGAGGGCAATGTGGTGTCTGGTGTGACAGTGGCAAGATCCCAGCTTTCAAGTTCCTCTTGAGTTCAAATTCCAGCCTTACTGTCACTTTCCTTGAGTTACTGAACCACCCTGGGACTCAGTTTCTGCCTCTAAAATATTGGAGTAATAATCTCCACATCATAAATGTTGAGAAAAGGAGATGTGAAACTGTGTAAAATGCCTGGCATCTGGTAGGCAGTCCATAAATAAGTAGTTTCCTTCTTTTCTTTGAATTACTGTTCATTTGTGTCTTGACTCTCTTTCCGTGTTACAGCATTGTAATGAATTAACATGTGTGAATAGAAAAATGTGTGAATAGAAAAATAGAATACACTCAATGTAGGGGCGCCTGGGTGGTTCAGTTGGTTGAACATCTGACTTGATTTCAGCTCAGATCATGATCTCACGGTTTGTGGGTTCGAGCCCTACATTGGGCTCTGTGCTGACAGTGTGGAGCATGCTTAAGACCCTCTCCCCCTCTCTCTCTGCCCCTCCCCTGCTCTGCTCTCTCTCTCTCTCTCAAAAATAAATAAACATTAGAAAAAAAATTTTAAATGCCACCCAATGTATATTCTATATAATCACATTCGTGCAAGTGGAAAATGTAGTGAGAAAGTGCTCATCTATTTCAGTTACAGTTACATGGAAGAGACAAGGGCACCTCGCTGGACCCATCAAAAATGACCTCGATTCTGACTAAGAGTAAAGAGAGAATGCAGGTATGTCACTAATCTATATATACACACCTATACGCCAGCAATTAATTTGACCTGGTTTTCAAGTGCCTTGTGTGATCCGGGGGGGTGGTGATCCATGGTGCACAGTTCACCTCCTAGGGTTGGTGCTGCTCGGGGCACGGCTGAGGCGTTTTGCCCCCTGCGCAGCTACAGAGCCCCTGGCCACCAGGGGGCGCAGCCCACGAGGCACCCCAGGATAGGAGGAATCCCCCCCTAGAGCTCAAAGCTTGCCGTGGAGAATTTAGTTTTATTTCAGCAAACATTCGTTCGGCGGCTATTATTTTGTAACTCCATGGCGGCATTTCAGGTGAAACAGCGATAGTGAATAACGCATTGGTTCTCAGCCCTAGGAGATGGTAACAACAAACCCCGGGCGCCGCCCTCAGTCTCAGTCGTGAGGTGCTCCCGGCCAGTGTTACCAGTGATCGTTCGATACCGAGGATTGTGAATGGTTTCCTTTTTAAAAGGACTAAGAACGAGTTCATCGTTATCCCCTAATAACATCTCTCTTGCTCATTTGCACTGGCATATTCCTTCCTGAGAAGGAGGAAAAAGAAGTGGAGAAACAGCTAGTAAGCTGAGAGCTCTGGGTATGTCTCTGGGCGGGTGCTGCTCACGTGTGCCCGCGGCGAACAGCGTGAGCACCGCTGGAGTAACGTGGGCAAACTAGAGAGAATGGACGGCTCTCCCAGGGTGACGTCCCTGCTGGCTTCCCAAGGCTGCTGTTCGGGACTTCTCAGGTTGGCGCTCCCGGGTAGCCATCAGTATCTTATGGAGAGTCTACGAGGGGCAGGGCCCCTTGAGGACTGTAAGACATAATCCCTCCCTTCAGTCCGCCATCCTCCGGGAGGATGAAGTCCAACCCCCGTGGCCTAACAGAACCGGGACAGCAGTGGGAAGAGAGGTACAGGGGAATTCAAATCAGAGAGGATTTCGGTCCTGACAGGCAGATGAGCCACGAACTGCCCCCTCTCGTCTTCAGCATTCGCTCAGGACGTCGCCAGGTTGCTCACACCGTATCCCACAGCTGAAACCTGCTAATTGGGCAATAACACCTAACGGGGGATTCAGTTAAACCCAGAGTGGCGGGTGAATGCCATCCAGACCTCTACCTTCCTTTTCTTACAATTTCTGGTGGAACGTTTCTCTAACATGGGCGTTTAACTTGCAGGTATAGGTAAGCAGAAGTGAAAACAATGGGGCAGCCTCCACCTTGAAAGACCAAGTTCTTCCCTCTGTGTAATGTCTCTAGACAGCTTATGAAATGTAGTCGTTGAACTCAGGGCAATTAAAATATTGCCCACGGACCAACCCTTCTTCGGCTCTCTGAAGGATTAGGGCAAATGCTTGATTCCTCTGTGCTCTGGAACAACATCAATGACTATACTTCGGCATTTGGGGAGAAACGCAAATACTTCTCACTAACTCCTGGTAAAACCAACCCCAACCCTAACTATGACTTCAGAAATCGCAACATAAAGTGATTCAACTTTTATATCTTGTTTGCCCAGACGGAGAAGCCAAGACCCACAGTGTCGTGCTCTCCCAAGAGAAGCACAAACTCCAGCCAAGAGCCAGCTGCAGATATGAAGTCACACTGGTCCAGGAACAGATATCCTGCCACAAAGAGAGGCCGCGCCGCCATGACGGTTTACCCCTCCTTGCACATATACACGTACCCATAGGGGGCCTTGGCCACACAGGAGCGTCATTGGCAGTGGGGCTAGACATGTTTTGTAATGAGGGGAGTTGTGTGACTTGGGGTACACTGCGTTGTGTGCTCATGGTGCACTGACCTTGCGCTGTGTGCTTACATTGCATGCATGCCCTCAGGACTCATACCTCACGAATCAGGTTTTTTTCATAAAGCGAAATTATATTATGATGTATACAAAAGCTTCCTTTATCAGAAATTGAGGTGTGTGTTCATGAACCCACAGCACAGATATACCTCATTCTAACCAATAGATAGTCTTTCTAAAATTATGTGCAAATTAACTTTAAGAGCTCAAATTCTGTTTTAAACCTATTCTGGGAGTGTGCTGTGTTTAAAAAGTCTTGCGTCAAAGCTTTCTGGCAATGAATGGTCAGACTGTGATTATCAGATTGGCTCATGGTGGCTCATTGGCTCATACCACACAGAGAGAACAATTCGTGTATTCGCCAGTTTAGTCTTACATATATTATGTTCAACACGGTTACGTATGTTTTTTAACCCATTGATTAAAATTCTTTCTCTCTAACCAGTTGTTTCCTTTGATTGATCGACTGCATAATCTTAAGTGAACAGGTGTTTCATATTGTAGATCTCTCGTGAGCACCGAGCACAGTCAGCGGACTATAGCCTGTCATGTTAACAGGCTGGAGTCGTGTTGAAGAAGGTCCACTCTGGCTCATGCCAGGCCTCCTGCTCTGACTTTCCCCTCTTCCTGTCACATTGGATTGAAAGTTTCCTGGTGTGTTTTTCACGATCGCCTGTAAACTCCTTCAGCCTCCACCCCTACCTGGATGACTAATGATTAGGACCACATGGCAACACAAATTCTATTACAATTCCAGTATCTGTGCCTTTTAAAAAAATTAATAGACTTGGGGAGCCTGGGTGGCTCAGTCGGTTGGGTATCTGACTTTGGTTCAGGTCATGATCTCGCAGCTGGTGGGTTCGTGCCCCACGTCGGGGTCTGTGCTGGCAGCTCTGAGCCTGGAGCCTGCTTCGGACTCTGTATCTCCCTCTCTCTCTCTGACCCTTCCCCACTCATACTCTGTCTCTCCGTCTCTTAAAAATAAATAAACATTAAAAAAAATTATAAATAATAAATAAATAAAATTAATAGACTTTATTTTGAGAACAGTTTTAAAATTTTTTTTTTCAACGT